CCCATTCTGCATCATTCACCTAAGCTGCTCCAGGTCTTGCACAAGTTGGGATTTTCAACCTCTCTCCCCACGCTGGGCATTCTCTTGGGCATGCAATGCCTAGAGTTTGCTCCGCCCCTCGAAAGCCAGCCATCTTCCAGGATTTCCAAAAAATGGCCACCCGTGGCCTGCCCAGTGCCCTTGGAGGAAACGCATGGGGCAGAGCTCAGGCCGACAAAAGCGGCTTCCTGGCACTCTCCTTGACAAATACCAAGGCTTAGTGCTCCCTGTGCTTCCTGTGGTACCAGTTCACATCACACCCTTCCCGTCTTCCGTGGAGCAGCATAGTGCCTTCTGGTCCCAGATCTCACACCGGGGGACCTAGGGAAAGCCATTTAAAAATCTTAGAACCTTGTACTCCACATCTTTAAAATTAAAAAACTCTTAGAGCCTGCAAAAAAAGCAGAAGTGGACTAGCTGGCATCCAAAGTCCCCTTAACCTTGTGGCTCAGACCTACCCTATACCCATCTGCCTTCAAGAAGCCCTGACAAATGGGGCAGAAATGGTCCCTATAGCCTCAGCATACAGAACAGTGCCTGGCACTGGGGGGTCCTAATCCCAGAGAGGTAGGTGCTCAAGAGATAGATGTTGGTAGGATGGTGGGAAGGTGAAGTGGATGGACAGACATCCCCCTTCAAATCCCAGGCCCGTTGGGAGGAAGAAAAGCTAGCTGTTTAGAAAGAAGGGCTCAGGAGAAACCTACCAACATGAAGTACTCACATCAGAAGCAAGCACCAAAGTACAAGGGAGAAAGCAGGCCAGGATTCCACGCATGATTCCAGCCCTGCCACTGCCAGCTGTGTAACCCTGAGCAATTCACCTTGCTTTTCTGAGCCCCATGGGCTCTACTCTACAATCTGCTCCTCCCGCCGTCTCAGGACAGGCTCAGGCCTGCCCAGGGGTTTACCCAAGTCACTGTGGGTTCCCGGTGGCCCAGTGTCATGGAAGGGGTTTTGAAAACTGCGAGTGCTATGCAAGTGACAGTGACATTTGTCATTGTTAGCGGTTAGGAAGGTGAACTCTCTTGCCAGACAACCAAGTCGGAATCCCAGCTCCTCCTTTTTCAATAGCTCTGGGGCCTCTGGCCTCAGTTCCTGGTCTGTGACATTGGTGATCATCACAGCACCTCCCTCCTGTGTTGTCTTCAAGATTGAAAGGGCTTATTTTTGCAAAGCTTCCAGAGCAAAGCCCAGCAGTCATGAAGTTCCATAAAAAGGTTAGCTTCTCATGATTACTGTTATTGCTATTAGGGGTGAAACCAGTCTGGCCATCCTATTTCCCCTTCACCTCCCCACTGCCAGACTCCCCACCTACTTCCAGACCTCCAAGCCATTCTACAAGGGCATCCCTGGCCCCTGCACGGGGGCTGTCTGTGTGTGGAAAAGCAGTGCACATGCCATTTCTCCCCAGCCCAGGACTTTCAGGTGCCAGGCTGCGTGTGCAGAAAGCCTAGCATCTGTCTCGTCGACCTTGGGGGGCCATTCCATTTGGCTACCACCCTCGGGAATTTCCTTTTACTTATTTTTCAGAAGCTGAGAAAAGCTGCTTCAGCTCTTTGCAAGGATCAGAAATGTCCATGGCCAACAAGCCCTCTCCCCTCTCCATCCTGCCCCACCGATGCACCCACAGGAGGGCAGTGACCCGAGGACCCTTCTACTCAAGGCCTCGGGCAACATCTGAGTAAGACAAAAACATGGGTTGAAGATTAAGCCACTTTGCCCTGGCTGGCCCGGGCACTGGATAGAAAAAGTGTTTGGCTGGCAGGGCCTGAAGCCGGGTAGAAATTCTGCATCCGGGAAGAGGGGTCCTAATCTCAGGGGGCTAGGACTTAAGCAAGATCTATGAGAAGGCCAGCAGGAGAGCTGGAGCCAAACTGAGCCATGGAGAAAACAGGACAGACAAACAGAAGGACTGACACACAGTGTGAGGGACAGGGAAGGGGCAGGGAGGCCGTAGACCAGCCTGCAGAGGCTGAAGGGCAGGCAGCGAATGGAAAAGGAAGGAAAAATACAAACCCGCCCTTTCCTCCCTCTTGTGAACCTGTTCAAAGGACTTGCCTCACCCGCCTGTGAGGAAACAGGTGCTGAGTGCTCTCGGGGAAGCCAAACTTTCTCCTAGTTTCCCCTGGGCCACTTTCCCACTCTCGGGGGACAGCACCAGAGCTCCCAGCTGAAGGCAGCCACTCCCACAGATGCCCACCCTCAGGACCCATCGGCCCTGCCCATCAGCCCGCCAGGGAATGTGGGCAACAGCAGCCCTGTTTCTTGAGGACCTGATCTATGCCATCAGGCTGAATACCTTTCTCCCAGTCATTCAGTAAACACGTACTGAGCACCTGCTGTGTGCAAGACTGTGGGGGAATCAGCCCTTTGTGAAATGTGCATGCTGGCATGAGCAAAGCCCCTGCAGCAGGATACATCCATAAAATGCAAAGCATACTAGAGGGTGATGTGTGCTGAGGGACAACGAAAGCGGGAAGGGAGGTTGAGTTCTGGGGGAAGGGAAGAGCTGACGCTTGAGTAAAGGCTTGGGGAGTGAGGAAAGCCTTGCTGGCATCTGCAGGAAAAAGCATTCAGGTAGCGGCAACAGCAAGTGCAGGACTAGTAAGAAGACCAGGTGGCTGAACAGAGTGAGGGAGGAGATGAGATGAGAGAGGAAGATGAGAGATGAAAGAGGCGGCGGCGAGGTGATAAAGAAAACCTGTCGTGTAGGGCTGTGGAGACCAGTAGAAGAACACAGGCTTTTGCTCCAAGTGAGGCGGGCAGGCGTTGGTGGGTTTGGCCAGCAGATTCATTAACTGAATTAATCTGCTCATTCTGAAGAAGGGACAGTGGGGTCCAGAAAGGTTAAGCAAGTGCTCAGGATCACACACCCAGGGTGTGGGGAAGCTACGAGCCAGAACAAGGCAGTCCACATCCCTGCTCATCAATGCCAGGGAAGAGGGTTCTGTCTCAGGTCAGGGAACCTCCGGGAGCACAGTCTGGTGTCACAGCCACTCCACCACCAGGTGGCTGATCCAACCTCCTCCAAGTCAGAGCCCCGTGCATAGGTAGGGCACGTCACAGGGACACAAAGATGCCACAGTTTGTTCAGGCAGCAGTCCCTTCTGGATTCTAGCTGCCGTCTCTCCAGCTGGAATGCCAACCTCTTCCTTTTTGTCCCAATCTCTGACCCCTCTTCCTGTAAACACAGCTCATGAGACTTCCACCAGTCAGACATCTGGCTTCTGCCTGGTGGTCCCTAAATCCTGGACCCCAGCCTCCCAGAGCAGCCAAGGACTTTCTGTCCTCGGTCACGAGGTGGTGGTTCAGCCGGGACCAGGAGAGATGTGTGCTCACCCCTCCCTGCCCATCTGCCTCTGCTTCCACGGTGGCCCTCTGCGACCCAGAGCGATTGCTCACTGGCAGTTCCAAGCCAGGCTGCACTCCAGCTCCCATTCCCCTGATCCCCGCACCCCCCCCCACCC